ACTGCCTTGGGCTGAGCCACATACGCACCCCACCCACCTCGTTGGCCTGGCTAACTCAGAGAGACATTCACACTCTTCTAATGAACTCAGGGAGAAACCTTTGCACCACCAGCTGATCTACTCAGCTGTTGATAGCTGTTTACCTCAAATGAAGACCCCCCTTGGGTCCCCTTGGTGTTGAGAACAAGTCAGCTTCTCTGCAACAGCTGTAGTCAGTAAAACCCCATGTTCTTCCCAGAGCTTCACAGGCACATTGCCCTTCATGTGGCCCATCTCCTCTGAGACTCCTTCCATGGTAGTGGTTTACCAGTCAGTTACAGAAGGCACACACAGACCAAATAAATTGGTCTTTTGGTGTTCGATTGCTTTGTATTGGAACGTGGCTTGGTATCTTCTTACCATGATCTTGATGTTTTTATGGCTCCCTTGTTATGTCAGGGGTTACATTTCCGAACCACTGTTCCCAAGCTGATGTGCAGCAGTACTGTAGCCAAGGAAGGCAGGAAACAAGAGGAATAATCACAGAATTGTCTAGGTGGGAAGGGACCTTTAAGATCTTCTAGTCCAACTGTCAACCTAACTCTGATAAAAAGGTTCTTTAACTTCACAGAGAAGGATATACTTAGGTCCTTTTTGCAATTTCTATGTTGAAAATAGAAAACATACACAGTGAGTACAATGATTTTTAGCAATATGGTTTAATTAGTCTGGTTCCAGGCTGAGGGAAATAAAAATGTGGATCAGACTTAGTGATGAGGATCACAATTCACAATGGCAGGGAAAAATGCTGAGTATAAGAGTAGTTGTACTGCTTTGCACTGCTGTAACCTATCATTTTTTCAACACCCTCCTTCATTGCCCTTTGCCTCTTACTCATGTTTTGTTCATGGCCTTAGGACTGACATGTCAGTAGTGTCCTGCTTTCTAGGCATTCAGTTCATATTACTATCTCATCTGTTTTTGTGTTCTTTCCCTCACAAATTTATTGAGAAACCTGATTACCGGCAAATATTGTTTTTAATTGTACCCACACAGAATATTTCACAAAGCCCAGCACCAAGAGCAGCGTTTAAAGCACTCTGCAAAATATAGGTCATTAAATCATGTCTACAGTATTGTATGAGATGTTTGTAGAAGCAAGTATAATGGGGAAGAGATTGCACGCACAATCCACAAAGGAGGCTGGAAGAGAGGTCAGAAGGTTGCTTTTTCTAAGCCTGTGATTTTTTTTTTTATTGTTATACCTTTCAAAACTTATCTCTAAAGTGGCTTACATTTTAAAGATAAAATGTTATGCACAGTATGGGTTTTTATTATTAATAATGTATAATAATGAATTATAATTATTATCTATGTAATATATAAAAACCTGGCAGGATAGTGTTGGATATAAAATGTGATTAATATATGTTTCAGTAAACAACCTGCTGTTGACCTTGCAGAAAAATTCATAGAAATTGTACCCTCTAAGTTAAGATAGGTGATACATTTTTTTATTAAGACTACAAATCTAATTTCTTTTCTGAAAGAATTCTTATTTCCTTGGATGATAGTAGAGAAACAGGTTGGTTGGCTTGCCTGATCCCATTTCAATCATTGCTCTTGCGTGTGTTGACCTTGCCTGTCCTGTTGGACGGTTTGGGTGCAAGAGCATCACATACCAGGTTTTTTCCTGGTGGAATTCAATACTAGTTGTATTGGATCAGTATAAAGTTTATGAACAATACAGACTTTTTCAGTGAACTGATTTCTCCATATGAAGTAGTTCTCTGTGGGAGCTCTTCTTTAAAGGTTCAGACCAATGTGTTGTACAAACAGAAATCTTTCTGGTGCCTGTGTTAATTTTTACAAGCTGTTGAGTTTGTGATCTGTTTCATAATCTTGTGTCATTAAGAGGCAGTCCACCTTGAACTGTAAATGTCTGTTATGAATGTTAGGGATAGTAACTCTGCCTTGTCTATCACTGTCTGCTGAGGGGAGAAAAAAAGCAGTATGCTATATGGATACCTCCACTTTCCTCTCAATTGTCACATCCCATAGTGATTCAATGCTGCAGAGTTACAGTTGTGACTGACCTGCTGCCTTCCAGTTGAGATTTTTAAATGGAATCTTTGCACTTTAGTAGTTTGGGTTATTAAATTTGAATTCTAAATGTGAGTGGGTTTGTTTGTTTTTTTCCCCAGAATGACTCTCTTGTTGACTGTAGCTCTTTGCTCAGGTGTTTCCTTACTTGTGTTACAGGAACACTGAAAGATCCCTGTTCCAGTTCCCACCCTGCTTTTTGCTATACAAAACACACTGGGAAGCAGTGTCTGTGGCAATGCTCTGGCTTTAGGGGAGGATGCAGCAATACCGTGTAACACCTCTTTTAAAGAACTGGGTCGGAGAGCTTGGCTCTGCCAAGAGTACACAGCTACTCCAGCAGTGTTAACCTTACTGAGTATTGCAGTAGAAGCTGGAGCACCACTTGCATATGACTCAGTGCTGCGTGCCCTGGGTACGTACGTGAAACTGAAGAGTTATCCCAGGCATCCCTCCTCTGTGTATGATAACTTCCTGCTGCTTGTTCTGCCCTTCCAGTAACTTCCTATTTTCCTTATCGTTTTACTAGTACTTGGAAACTTGACTGGTCCAATTTATAGAAGAAAAGGATAATTTTGGATAGTAAAAGATGCAACAAACTTTCCTTGTAATTAGTAAAGAAATTCTTTGGTTACTTGTAGAAGAGAGACCCTATACTGAATGGGGAGGCTGATGTAACTGGCATAGTGGATATCCTTGTTTGGCAGGAGCTGCCAGGCCAGCAGCATTACTATAAAACAAGACACAATTCATGCTGCTTCTTCCTCAGTTTGGGGTGTGCTAGGGGATGTGAAGAAGAGCTGAGATGACTGCAGTGTGGGAAGAAGACAAAGGGAAATCCATAGGAAGTCAGCCACGTTGGTTCCACTGTTCGGAGAAAAAGTTGTTTTTCACTGAGATTTTTAAATTAACAGTGCCCTTTTATACTACAACACCATGTGTATGGACATTATTGGTGTGGTATTTAATTAAAACCACAGCTGGTGATCACTTAATTATAGTGTACGAAAGGAAATGATACTTACTGGACTATGTAGCATTGTTTTATTCAATTTAGAGAATTGTAGCCATTTTTTCATGTAATATTTGAAAGCTGTGATGAAGGATGTAAGATCTGATGAACAAATTGGTGAGTTTCATTGCAGCACTTCCCCTTTGTTAAGGTAATAAGGTGAAACAGTGGCTTATAAATTCACCAGCTTTCCTGAAGATTTTTTTTTTTCCTGAAGATTTGATTTTGAACAGTTTGGTACAATTAGGCTGGCTCTTGTATCTCCATACTGTAAAACCACTGTGTACCTTGCTGTGGTGGGAAGGAATCCTTCTGCTGAAGGCCAAGAGTACTTAAAGATATTCAGGGTGTTCCTGGGTTTATTAATAGACTTCTGCGTACTTACTTGAAAGAAGCCATGTAGCATGTGCCCATAGCAGACCTGAATTACTGTTTTTTCACTTGAAAAATGAGGCTGCCTCAAGAATCTTAAATGTACTGCAATGTAAAATTGTGTACGTGTATATTTGTACCAAAATCAATAACTGTAAGACATTTTTGCAGCTGACATAATAAAAATGCTTTTGACTGAACTCAGAAATGAGGATGTCCAGAGCTTCTAGCATAGTTACACTGCAATTAAACTGCAGAATTCACATCTAAAAATCTTTATAAAATTAGGTTTTCTCTCTTGAAGTCAGAGGTGGCCTTTTCTGTAACAATGGGAATACTGTATGTGAAGGAGCTGTTGCCAAATGATCTAGTCTCTGCTGACACACATCAGCTTTCACACGTCAGTCTGTGAAAACATCTATGGTTTTGCTGGCTTCCAGTATTGTAAAGGTAAAACTGATATCAAAATAGGACTCATTAGCAGATTGACTGGAAACAGAACAAGAAAAATAACTTATAAGTGATCTGCCCAATGAAATGTCAGAATAAAGGACTGAAACAGGCTGGAGGACTAGAAACAGGGTTTGTGTTTCAGCCTGACTCTTGGCAGCAGAGTGGTGTGTGCTGTGTCACTTGGTCCGGTGTAAAAGGTCACTTTTGTTTTCTCACCCAGTATAACTTGGAGTTGTTTCTTTACTACTATAAAGAAAGACTTCAGTGTTAGCTGTTCTCCTGCTGGACTTTTCGGTTGTAGTTTTCAATATCGAGTGTTGAATTCTAGCTGATGCCTTCAGTGTAGCGATGAATGGTATATTAAGGACAGGAAGAGAAAATGAATGAGTTACAGGTATAGGATTCTTTTAAGAATTGTTCTTGGTTTCTAAATTATATAGCTAACCTAATGTAAATGATGTTAGTTATCATAGTGCATTATATATTTCCAAATGTAGAACTTGTCTTTCATCAAAATGATCTGCTGCAGGAAGAAAAATAGTTCAGGTTCTTCATGTGTCGCCTCAGTAGATTAGAATCATTGAAACTCACTGACAACTACAGAGCAGTAGCTCAAAGTGGAGTAAGCTTTAGTTGCAAAATGAAACCCAGTCCTATGCATGGAGTTATTCCCTTCACCAAAGTGTCGGGAGGCATCAAAATGTGATGCACCTTCTTTTAAAATACAAATCTGAGTCAACATTTAATGTAAGGTTTTATAAGACAAGACTGAAGCTACTTCTTATTAAACTGATATTAGAACTAATCTACACATATGCTTCATTGTGTGTATCCTTATAATGTGTTTTCTGATGAAGGAATGTCTGTGCTGTCTGGAGAGGAGAATTCCGTGTAAAAAGTGTTTAGCGGCATGTGGATTTCTTTTAGACTTTTGTTACACTAAAGTTCCTATTAACTCCTGCAGAAATCTACAGATATTGTAGCTGCTGTATAATACTATCTCAATACTATCTCTTCTTTCAAATGCTACCCTACATGGCTTGTGAGTTGGTTAATTTGTTTCTTTCCTTTTGTCTTCTAGCTTCATTTAGCAGCCCTGGCTTCGTTAAAGGGAGACATAGTGGAGCTTAATAAACGTCTACAACAAACAGAAAGGGAGCGTGACCTGCTGGAAAAGAAATTGGCAAAAGCACAGGTGAGCAATAGTTCAAGATTCTGCAGATGGTTGTTGATTTTGTGTTGTCCTTGTTCTTCAAAGAGGAATATGGTATGTGGGGAGAGCATAAAATATCTGAACAATGTCACAAGTGAAAAGAATTTTAAGACTGCAAGAAACATTGTTGCTGTGGGTTTTAAGTTTTACGTGCTGGTGACATTTTTCTAAAAAAATTCAAGAAAGAATTAGATTAGTTTTGTTTTGAAGCCAATAGAAACAGTGACTACTTTGAAATATTTTAGAATATAAAAATTGCAGCAGACTCTTGGTGGATTAGGTAACTGATTGCAGACCTTCCGCTTCTGGGTCAGATTCAAACACGGTAAAAATTAACACTGATCAAAAGCTATTGCCAATTGGCAGTGCTTTGGTGGTATGTGAGAAATTATTTCTGATCTCAGTCTAGCTTCTATTAAGCCAGTTTGTGTGGATCTGTTGTGGGAAACACAGTCAGTGGGAAGCCAAGGGATTAAATAAGAAGTCAGAACTCCAATGCTTTCACAGCTCTTAAAAAAAAAAAAAAAAAAAAAAATCTTTTCAGATCAAGATAAATGTAGAGAGGCAAATGCAAACAGTGAGAACTGAACTAGTGTTCTTAATATTTCTCTCTTCTATAAATTAAACCTTTGCTTTCAGATACTGTCATTCTGGCAGATGACTTTTATAAATACTTTAGATTTCAAAAGTCACTCAAAATTAACGCTCATTTATACTTGTGTAGAAATGGTCAAAGCATTTTGTCCTGTAAAGTATAGCATCTTATTTATTGCCCAAAGAGGCTGTGAAATCTCCAGCCTTGGAAGTACTCAAGCCACCTGGACCTGGTCTTGTGCAGCCTGCTCTACATGACCTTCCTTGAGTTGGGTAAGGGGTTGGATGAA